AGTACAAAGAGCGCGAGATCAACTCTACCGCCGAGCATCGACCGCAACGACCGGATATCATCGAGCGTGAGGTCACCAAGTCGCCTCCCATCCGTGATGAGCATCCACCGTTACCACCGCCCACCCAAATCTCTCTTCATCCTCATGAGCATAACCCGGAACCCGACATCCCGGAGCATTACGACTTGGAGAACGCCAGTTCTATTGCGCCCAGCGACATTGACATCGTATATCATTACAAGGGTTATCGCGACGGCATGAGGAAATATAAAGCCACTCCTCCTCCTATAGGTGAGACATGACTAATAATTTATTAGAGAAAACAATTTTAATGTTTAGTTCCAGTCGACACTAAAGTAATTAAAAGTAATATAACATCAGTCTTTTAGTTGATGTCGACTAAAGTGCAAGAATAACGTGTTTTAAATCTTACCTAATAATATAATAAAGCGTATTTTATTATATTATTAAAAGGCGTATATATATTTATATATTTAAAATTATTTAATTGACTTAAATAGAAATTATTTATTGTACAGGTAATTATGGTAACCATCACAAACACACGGGACAACAACATCGTCATAACGGACCTTTTCCACCACGAGCTATGCCACCACCCAGCGTGAACCAACCACCTGGACCAGCGCCAAAATTGCTCCAGAGCACCCCTCTGGCGAGATTATCTCCCAGCAGCGAGTTATCTGCACAACAACCGCGGATTCTCACGCTGCACGACATCAGCGGAAAACCGCTGCAAAGTGCGCTGCTGGCCACCACGTCTTCATCCGGCGGTGTCGGCAAGGACGCGTTAAATTCTAACAGCGAGAGAAGTCTGAACTCGCCCATCATGAGTCAATTGTCAGGCTCGACCGCCAGCAGGAAGGCCCCTCAGTCCAACAATGAAAACTCTGTGAATAATGTGTCATCGGGCCCAATGGGTCTCACAGCGGAAGAGATTGAGCGACTCAATTCTCGTCCAAGAACGTCCAGTCTGGTCTCCACTCTGGACGCCGTGAGCTCCTCCAGCGAAGCCAGGGGTCCACCTGCGCACGGGCCTCTCCATCATCACCGACGTCACACACCCCCCGTAGAGAGGCTCGAACGACGAAATTCGTCAACCACCGACGAGAGTGGTAATGACAGCTTCACGTGTTCGGAGATTGAATATGACAACGGATCACTAGTGGGCGACAAGCGGTCCGACAACCTGTTCGCCAAACAGGATGACGAGAGGAACAGCCCGCAGGGAAGGAGCAACGTTGAATCATCGCAGTCAACGAAACCACCGCTGCCGCCGAACGTTGGCAACTACGACGGCTTCGACAGTTCATTTCGCGGCTCCCTTAGCACCCTCGTCGCCTCTGACGATGATCTATCGACTCATATGGGCGGCCTCCTCTATGGCACCCACGCCACTAATGGTTCGCCCACTACCACCACTACCACCACCACCGCTGCCGCCGAGGATGCTCTTAGCTGGGACTACCTGCTCAACTGGGGACCCAACTTCGAGAGCCTCGTCGGCGTGTTTATCGACATCGCCGAGCTGCCGGACAGTACCAGTCGAGTACCCAGATTACCGGCGAATATCCCCAAACCGTCTGAGGAATACGTTTGAAACGGATCCTTAGATATGACGCCGGGACAATTTAGTGAACAATAGTAGTCTAATGATTGTGAGATTTATTTCAGGCAAATTGTAAAGACTCGACCTGAGGAAATGTGCGAGCTCCTCTTAGGAATGTTATCGAATTGTTTTGCTGCTTATTTAGTTTGTTTAGTCGAACGTTTGTAAATTGATAGCATAAATAGTGACATCCAGTCTCGCGGGCTTGTAAGATCGAACGTGGTTTTGAGTCATATGAGGACACATTGAAAAAAATGTTAGCGAAAAATGTCATGAAAAGTATCATTGCAACGTTTGGGGGTTGCAGTGAGGTGCCACGTCGAACGGGCCATCTTGCCATAAAACAGAGAGGAAACGTCCCTCGAAGAGACTCGTCCGTATTTTTCCCATCGTGCACGGGAGAAATTCGTTGTTTTCTATTGTACTCTTTATCTCGCAATTTTTTTTGTAAATACTAAATGACACGTGTCTAATCAAAATGATTACGCTCGCGCGGAGCGCGTAATATTTACTCTTCGGTACGATCGGTCGAACTGCAAATATTCTCTTACGACAGGATATCATGTATCATTAACAATCGACCCTCGTAGAAAAATATTATTAGACTCACGAAAAAATGATTAGAAATAACTTGGAAAACCATTCGATTTTAATATTGTACGTTATTTTTTCTAATAAGTTTTTTTTCACTAATCTAATAGTATTTTTCTACAAGGTGAAAAATCACGCATGTGTGTGTGTGAAGTTAATATTATTTATAATATTAATGTTAAGATTTTAATTAATCGATAATTATTAATATTACAAATAATATGTTAATTTTAGTAGCATTAAATGTCGATGTTAAATTTGCATGTTGTGCACGTTTCGAGCGATCGTACATGATATTCAATACGAAATGCAATCACGCGAGATTACTTTAAATGCCATTTTTAATTACGACGATTTATCTGCCGCCGGTGAGACGGAAATATGTGCGACTGGGTATCGAGACAGTCCAATTATAATTGTTAACTAGCGACTTCTGTATACATATATCTTAAGCTGTCGTGCCAGATGCATACTCGATACAGTCGTACATATCGTAATGATTGCTTGAATGGCTAAGTGGCATTTATTTCAGGATTTTTAATATTTTAATCGAGAATTTTTTAAAACTGTTTATTGAAATTGCAAAATGAATTGATTTTCGGGATACGTAACTGTAAAATTTGTTATAAATTAATTTATATGACAATGTATAGTTATATTGTATTTATACGCGGGTGTGTGAATTAGATTTTGATCCTTTTATATGTCTCGAAAATTGACTTTTTATTAGTAAATGAAAAATAAAAGGAAGATAAAAATATTAGTGATTAATTAATCACGACTTTTATTATGTTACTTACTAAAATTGCAATTTCAATAAATAGGAACGGTTGTTTTTTAATTGACTTTGGATTTTGATACTGTAATATACGCCCACACAGCATACTTTATCCAAGAGATGTGTCCTGAGAACGTCTTTAAGATAAACATAGATGTCCTCTGGAAATGTCTTTGGAACGTTTGAAAGTCTGTGCTGTATGGGACAGAACTAGTCCTTATATCTTTTTGTTCATGATGATAGAATCGTCATTCTTAAATCTCCATCGGCAATGTGAAATGTTTTACTCGTTGTCTACCTATCTGAGTCTTCAAATTTTAATGTAAATTTTTATATTGTTCCGAACCGTATAAAGATTTAAAGATCTGACAAAATTCTTACATATATACTTATGAAAGTTTTAATGATAGATTTATATTAAATCGTAGAAGTTGAATTTTATTTTACTTATTTTTTATAGATTTAAATTTATCTGAATTTATAATAAAAAAAATTCTGTATTTAAACTTCGACGTGACTGTACTTTTAAAGTCTAACATTGCCGGCGGAGGATTAAAAAATCGTAAAATCCATTGTCTTAATAAATCCGGATTAAATCTGGAAATTATATATCGATTATATGTATATTATCTGATTTTAGAATATTCCAAATAATAACTGTTTTGTTAAATTTTCCTTGTTTTTGTTAAGTATTGTATAGCATTTGTGCCATTCAGCCATTCGACTCAAGACACGGCGTTTTGATTAGAAGAGAAGGGAGAGAGTTCGTCTTCCCACATTACAAGCAACAAACTACTTTGCAATTCTTAGATTGCGAAGATAACGGAACGCCGCTGATGAATGGGATTATCGGGCTGTAGTGGAATCCGCCACGCGGATGATAACGTGATTCGCGGGCGTGTCAAATTCGTGCTCAATTCGTGCTCGTTAAAGCAATAACGGCTCCTAATCGTAGCGTTCCTGAGAGTAGTCTGCTGGCGGCAGACTACCAGACTGATTTTCTCCTCTCTCCAAACAACGTTTCGCGATCGCGAGATGCGACCTCCTCGACGATCGCCTTACGCGTTTACTTTGTAAATTATGAGATCTGTCCTCGGCCTGATTTCATCTTGTAAATAAAACCGCGCGTGTGAATTGTACAAAAGTGCGAATGCATGTGTGAATGCCAGAGAGTGCGTGCTAACTATCATCATCGATCGTAAAATAGATGACAGATTTGTAAAAGTTGCTGTCTTATTTATTTCCTTTTTCTTCTCCTCTAAATTTTAATGTGAAATATACAGGAAGATTTTTTGATATTTTAAATATCTCTAAGAAAATAACGTTCTGTACAACGTATACGAAAATCATGTGTTACACAAAAAATTATTTTTCGTTGTTAAACATTGGAGGATTAGATTTAGTTATTTTGTTATTTTTAACTTTCACATGTATCAAAATGTGTTATTTTAATACGCAACATGTGATTGAAATAAGCGTTCATATAGTTCATAAAAAAATTTCCATAAAAATTTAAATTCCCATAAAATTGAAACAAATTTAAATAAAAAAATTGAATATATATAATATATATAGATTTTAATTTAATAAAAACATTAAATTTGAATCAAATTTTTTATTGAATCATTTCTTGAGTTAAATTATTTAACTTCATTATTTTAATTAAATTAACGATATACTGTTAAGTAATACGGTTTATAATGATTAAAAATGACTTAAATTGAGTATAATTTAGCATTACAAATTTAACTTGTATCGCATAATTTTCTCGTTTAAATACTATTATTCATAAAGAGATAGAATTAAAAGAGATCAGAGAAGAGTTTAAATATATAAATCCAATTCGACTTAGATAAATTTAACTAAAATTTAGTGTGATAGACAAATTACGAGGCCCACATCGATCTTTGAAAATGTCTGAAAAAAGCTCATTACCTATCTATTACATCGATAAATCTCGATTACTTCTTCGATCTTCATCTCTTGCATATGTTCCGATACTTTTGTCAAAACGGTTAAAACCGATCTATTTCATCGCGTCAAATTACTTATTAATTATTTTTTACTATATATGTATTAGCATCTATTATTATTTGTTGACTTGAAACTGAATTTTCTGTCGCTTCGTGAACGAGACACGAGAAAGTTTGCGTTTTCCACGCAGAAATTTCACCGACCTCGCGACTCGTCGGGCTGCCGGAATCCGATATAATCGGTTATAATGTACAGATAATGATATCTCCATTTCCGTCATACGACGAGCTACTGAATAGCGCTTTCGCAAACATTAGTTTGATCGCCGACAAGACCTGGACCTTCGATCTGGAAGATCCTTTCCGAAAGTTAAATCACTCTCTTTGGATTCAAGTGAGACGCGCAACAGATACTTATCCCATAAATACCGCATCAAAGTACCGCATTTTATATATATTTTCCCAAACATTTTTTTATCGATGTTACTATCGTTTATCATTGTCTGAAGACCTGCATAAGAGAAGAAAGGAATTATCAAAAATTTGTTTTTTATAGCTGAACTAGTATACACTTTTTGTATTTAAAATAAAATAGGCATGTTTGTTATTTGGTGACAGTAAAAAAGAAAATTCTATCGCAGTTTCAGTGCAACAATAAAAAATTAATCTCTGTCGTTGAATTAACAGAGATATTTTTTCTGAAGATAAGGGAAATTACGTTGGATCATTTAGAACCACAAATTTTGATATTTTCATTTATTGGAGATAGTAAACAATATAGTTGTAAATTGTTGAAAGTAAAAAAACTCGCGCGTATTGTAACAGTACAGATTTTTTCGCGATGAGAGGAAGGAAAATTTATTTTGACATAATGATAACTTATCGCGCGCGTTTAATGCCAGAGTTGCGAAGTAACCGCGAAGTACGAGGAATATGGTGATTATCGTCCAAGACTCGTTCGAGACGTCATCTCCGAATCGCGCTTGGCGAAATACGGTAATTACGAGTACGACGAGCAGCATGAGAGAATGTACAGGCCGGACGACGGTAAATCGTCGGGTAGCGTGCCTTGCCACTTCCGTTCAGCTACGGAGGCTGTGGAACCGTGGATGCTTCCTGAAGTTCAAGAACACTTCGCCCGGTTAATTTCGTCCAGTTGCACGCGATCACATCGGGAACCGTTAGTTCGCTTCGGCACTTCGGTGTTATTTTTACGATCCGCGAAGTTCTTCCCTCTACACAATTTCGTGATAAAGAAATTATCACGAATTATGACCCATCTACGCTGTAATATTTAATTAAGGATGATATATAAATCTTATTTAGCGATTGAAGATATAATATATTAATTGCAATTTAATTAAAATTGATTCATTCTCAAGGAGAAAAATTAATTGAAATGACGTCGATAAGACGTGCATAATCGACGTCGGTCCAATTTTTATTTCTTTCTGAGTTTTATATTCATCACAACAATATTTGTATCGCAGACATGAAAATTCGAAATACATCTACTATTGATTGTGATTAGATTTGAATATCTTGTTAATTAGTACTTTCAATTTGCAAAGCTCAGCAATACAAATACTAAAGAGTAACACTGCGAGGAGGGATAATGAAACCGTCGCTTGCTCGAACTTCCAATTGGACTGGAACGAGAGCTCGAAAAAGCGACGTCAAAAGACCAGTCCAAAAGGGAGCAGAAAAATTGGATTGCGCGATGAATTACTTTCGGCTTATAAATCTGACGAGGGCGGTAAGCAGTAATTTTACAAGTTAATAAGAATACAAATTACAAATCTATAAATTATACACCTGTACAGATCCTTATACGAAAAATAATACAAATAATAATTTTATCTTTTCATTTGTATTTTAATTGTTATTTATTCTATTAAAAAATTATTTCATTAATTACATATTTTTGTATTTATTTATTAATATTCTAATTTTAGTATTAATGAAATAGATTTTATTAATAAATTATAATTATTTTAATTAAATTTGTTATTTATTGCAAGTTTGTAATAAAAATATATGCTACTTTTTTTACAAATGACGCTTACAACAATCTTTGTAACGCAGTGAAAAATAAAATAATTATTACAATCGTTCCAACAAATACTTTTGTTTAGAAACTCGTATTATGTAATTTCTTATATTTTAATACAATAAACATTTGTATCCATAATATAACAATTACAATTAGCACCTAATTAGCATTTTCTGCGTTTAATTAAAAATAAAATTATATTTACATAATTAAAAAATTCCTGTTGAGAAGTTGAAATATATTAGAGATACACAGAATAATTAAAACACTAGCATCTTAAAACTAGTATCTATAAGTTTAAAGACTCAAATGCTATCGTCTTACGCTTCTTTTATTCCTTACTATACATATTATGTGCTATTAGGAAAATCAATCAGAATGTTTGCCCGTCATCGCCGATACACCGCCGAGACTGCCGCGGAAATGCAGCTGCAGTTCCGCATCGAGAGCAACGCTGTGCGCGACATATGGAACTCCGAAAAGTTTCAACAACAGCAGCAGCAACAGCAGCAGCGATGCCATCGACAGAACCAACAATCACGTACCGCACAACAGACGCAGCCTGTCACCCAACATCATCAGTTCTACTACACATTGCAGTATCAACCCTTGATCATGCGAGAATATCAGCGAAAACCGTTATTATCACCTCCACCATTACCACCACCGCCGCCGCCACCACCAGTTTTGAGCGCCGAAGTGCCTGAATTCTTCCCGAAGTCGAGCCTACCTCCGATAGCATATAACTTGAATAATGACAAAGAGCGCAAGACTTGCCAGATACGGTACTTCCCGTCGTTGAATGACAGGAATTACCAGAACGAGTTGTTTCCTCATAACAGGCCGCAGCAGGAGACTGCGGCAACTGTCTTCCCAGTAAACGTACGGCTTACAGAAGTAAACTTTAAATCTGTTCTCTTCAGCTAAACTTCTTGCATAGATCATCTTTCCTCTTTTTCTTTCGCATTAGAGAAATAAGAGAAAAGATGAATGGTACAAGAAGTTCAGCTAAACAATACAGGTCTTTTGTATCAAGATCACGTTAGACGTTTCTGAAAGAGATTAGTCAAAAGTTGAAGTCTCTTACATAGAATGTTATATAAAATATATATAGAATCGTAATATGCAAAATGTACCTTCATGAATGTCATGATAAATTTTTCATTACAGTCCGCGATGCAATCAAAATTTGGTTGCATTGGAAGAAAAACGATCGTATTACGTTAAAATTTAAATTGATTTAATGAGTCAGCTTTTAAAAAAAATAATTTTTATAATTTATATTATTAATATGAATTGATTATTAAAACCTTTTAGCTATGTAACTTCTTTTTTATGATACAGAATGCTAGAATGTCCATATTATCAGCGACAGAGATGAATGTGTTTCGTTCGCCTCAAGAATGGATTCACAGAGTGGCACCACCAGTGCAATTGCAGTTGACAGCGTCTTCCTCGTCACCATTATCAATCTGCACGCCGCTGCAACCAATTCACGATGCTGCAATTGTCGGCCATCGTCCTTTACAGGCACTTTTTATATAAAAATAATTTTTTATATAAAGTATTTTTATTGAAAAGAATTAAGATATCTAACTAAAAAAGAAATTTTAAAAATCTATCATTTACTAAAAAATCTATCATATTTTTAATCCTTTCGTCTGCAATCTGTGTCTTTTAACTCAAATGTTAAAACCTTAATTTTTTTATTAAATAATATTTTATTAATTAAAATGTAAGCAACGACAAAGAAAAAGTTGAAATTTGTTTATTAAGATACAATTTTCAACAATAAGGGAATCGGACTTCTTTATTTTGAAGAAAATTGAGAGCGAAATTTTTTGTACCAAAAAAAGACCTAAATTGTAGACGCAAGGTTAATTGTTCTAGAATTTAAATATTATTCGTATTTGAAGAAAAAGAGAGAGGATAGAGATAGATAGATAGATAAATAGAGAGAGAGAGAGAGAGGGGGGGAGAGGGGAATTTATTACAACTATTTTCCGCATTACAATTATTATCAATATAATACAAACAATTATAATTGATGAATAAGATTAGTAATGTTACATCATTATTAAAAAATTCCACAAAGCAACTCATGAAAATAAAATTATGCATCGTAATTTTGTAGATGTACGAGAAATTTTTACCTTGTACCCAGCCAAGTTCAACGACACCCATACCTGTGTATCAGCGACCGGTGGAACTGTACCAGGAACCAATGCTGAAGCGGAAGAATCAAGGAGTCGACTTTAACAATCTCATATTACTAACAAAGAACAGCATCAAGACGCGACGAGGCCACTCGAAGCCCCCTGTTCAGCAGCCTTTCCTTCTGGATTCCAGACAGAGCCTAAAAACTTCCAGTCGCAACGTGCAGGTGCAATGGTTCGATAGGGATCACAGTGTGAAGAAAACGAAGGAGGTCGTGACCGTAAACGCACTCGTGTCCGAGCTACGCAGTTTTGAGGAAAAGTACGAATACTGCAGAGGAGCCGATACTAGCTGGAGAACGGTCGCCGAATCATCACAAGATCAGCAAAGGTTGTCTGAAACTTCGTTCCGGTTGAAGGATGGAATATATGGGAACGAGAGCTCGAAGCGGCCGCTTTATAGGGACGTTCTAGCAAATGCCTCGAACGAGGAGATCTTAGATAATGTCTTCGAGAAGAGGTACATTGAAGTTTTCGATTAAAAACTTTTTAAAAGTTTGGATGATTTGGCAGAGTCATTTTTTTTTATCAAATTCATCTGTAGTTTGAATAGCTGTATTTAACAGAGAAAGCGACTTTGTAACTTATAAAATTCTTTAATATGATTAACCTTGTCCTTCACTGGATCTAAATGTATAAATCAATCACATTGAAGATTTTATAACAGTTTCAAAGCTTTTCCTGCTGAACGCAACTGATGTTTCACTGGTTTTCAGGTACGACGAGCTTGAACAGCAAGCGATGGAACAATATAGAAATTCGGAGGAGTCACTGGCGCTCAAATATCAGGTAACGTTCCAAACTTGAATATTCATTTTGTGGCACATGGCTATACATATCCTCGCAAAAAATGAAAGGAAATAATTAAAAGAAAAAAAATTAGTAAAATTATGAAAACCGTGTGATCTTACAGATTCTTTGACGTTCAGATCTAATAGCAATAAATTATTTATTTCTTTTTACTCCAATAGTTATCATACGATATTTTACAACCAAAAGAATTAATTTTCAATCGTTCTTAATGCTTGAAAGTAGAATGCTCCGTTTGATAAACGCGTTTTCGATTAATTTTTATTCAACTTTTCACATGGAATATTATTATGCTGATGTTTACATTACGATATCGTAGGAATTGGAACGTCAAGCAATGGAACAATACAGAAATGGTAATACAGGAGATGAAAAGCGCTCGATGAATCAGGATTGTGTCGATGGACAAAGATGTTCGGAATACGGACACTGCAATCCCGTAAAAAGACATGCAAGAAGAAAAAGTAAACATGACGCTTCCAAAATTGTTATATAATATATTGAATGTAACACGTTTAATGCTCTTCGATAAAAATAATATCTTAAATAACTATTTTTCTCAGGTTCTTGTTTTCCGCAAATCACTCTATTAAAGCCGAAGGGTAAATCCTTGCCAAATGTCTGTCATGGCAATGACAGTAATCATCAAGCAACCATCGCTTCAAGAAGTTTATCCGCATTGACCGAATCGTCGAAGAGATCGAAAAACATATGTAAGGGTGCATCAGGAGATAAAATCGATACGAGTGGTAAGTTAGTTATCAGCAACGTAACACTGCGGAAAAGTATTAGAAAAGGCACAAGAAAGTTTATAACGCATAATGAAATTAGTCGTATTAGATATGCCGATATCAGATAAATACTCGGGTATTTTTTATTGCTGTATTAAATTATACTAGAATTTATCCAGACAATATTGAATAAAAAATTATATTGAAATATTTTGGTAATGTGTGTGATAAGGAGATGCCATTATTCTTTAAAATATTGTCACAATGTGTTGCATTGAATTTTGACTTCTTTATAGCATTAAATTTCGAAATAAAATCTATATCAACACGATCTGAGTTCTACAATCAGAAAATGGTTTTAAAATTATTGATTTTTGAAGTCTCAGTTCGAGCATCGTCAAAGCGGCGTCTGATACTGATGTCACCCTTCGAACGCAAATCAGAGGCCAGACAAATAATGAAGGCGACGGAACTACAAAATATTTGCTCGTTCTCTCAAACAAAAAACAACGTCCTTGATTATTATCGGACTTCCGAAATTGCCCAGAATGGCAGCGGTGATGAAAATATAACAATTATACAGTCACCTGGTAATGAAGGTATAATAGCATCAATCATGTAAAGGCATGATGTAATATAGTCTGTTCAACAAGAAAGTGTGGGTGATAATCTGAAAAGAATAAACGATAAAGTAAAGTTGTTTTTTTTTAAATGAAAATAGAAGATTTTTAGTAATGCGCAATTATCTAATATTTCATTTAGTCGTCTCTATTATCAATTATTGCTTGGCACCGTTTTAGTTAGTTTAAAGATTCAAACGTACGGTATAAGATAGATGGCGCTACTGTGATTTTCTACAAAAATATCACCCACACTTTCTTGTTGAACGAACTGTATACACAATTTATATATAATTTGTTTACATACATATATAATTAAGTTTATATATATATTATATATAAATTAGAAGTATTCCTAATTATGTGTTTATTTTGGTTTTTTATAGTGATTATTTTTATTTTTTATATCATTTTTTAATTATAAGTTTAGCTTATATAAAAAGAATTTGTATTTTACACTGTGTTCATGGTAATAAAAAAACAAATAAAAATGCTTTCTGATCTGGGTACCGATCATGTACTTTTCCTTAGGGCGGATATGTGAAAAAAGTGAAAAATTTTTTCATTAATCTCAATTATAAAAATTTAACGTTTCCGCTCTAGGGAAAAAGTACATATACCCTAACGTTTTCAGTTTGGTTGTCCGGATTCTGGACTACTTAAGAGCAATTTAACGAATTTCCTTGGGAAAAATTGAAAGACTATCGAAGTTCCTTTGCCAAGACGACATCGGTGGATTGAACTGGAGAAATTCTTCAGAAATAAGAAGCAAGTCATGACTTATAATATAATTAATATTATAGGCATATATGTATTATGAATATGTATGTATGTATGAGAAGTAAGTTATAGCGTATTCATGTGATACACGTATATTGATATACAATCGACAAGACAGTTTACATAAATTTTTACAACAGATAAATTGTGTTTGTAAATAGTGACCAGACTTGCGAAATGCATTAAACATGTCTACCTGTTCATAAGCACGTATTATATATTTTTTTATATTATTATAAAATATGCTATAAAAAAGGTAACAAATCTAAACTGGCTACATTATTCGATATCCAAAGGATATATGATCTAAGTAGAGTTAAATCTTTTGGGAACGTATCTTTGGAAATTTTCAGTCTTCGTTTAACTCTTTGAGTCATCTATCATGTAAATGGTATGCAATACAAATAAAATAGGGCATTACAAAATATAGACGTAAAAAAAATCTTATCAAAGACTATATACTGTAAAAAATATTCCTTCTCTTTTCATGTATAAACTCTGACTTTTACACAAAACACACATGCATATTTTTATGTAACGTATAGAATAATTTAATATATTGGTTGCGCCAAGCAGAATATTTATTTTGCAACTGTTGAAAGTTTTCTTCGTTTGAGATAAAGTTACTTCTCTAGATTTTTAAAAGTATAATCCAATTAATGCGAAAAAAACTTACAACAATTACAGAATAAACATTCTGCTGAACACAGCCATTGTTCAGGCATCTGCAACCATATATGTTGCATACATTCTTTGGACATTATGGAAATATCTTTTATGTAATAAAAGAGTATTCGAATAATTCAATCATTTCTTTCTACAACGGAATGAATTTACCAATTATCGAGAAACTCAAATCCAGTCTTTGGTATGCTTCTCTCTTCATCTTCTTGATTCAGTTGGGATGACTGAAAGCTACTATAGGAACTGGGTGTTTCTAACAGAGCGGTCGATTCGTTTATGTCGCTCGATTTTGTTCGCGATGTCATCACTAAAGTATTCGATTGACTTTTGTCCGTATCGGAATCCCTCACCAAACTTTCCAAGTCATCCTCGACATTGCTTTGTAACTTCAATAAAGAGGTCTTGTTGATCAGTTTAGCAAATATACTATCAGAGTGTTCGCTGTCAATTTCATTTGTCAGTAAATCATCGCTGCACTGATCATTTTCGAATAAATCACTGGTGTAACAATCTGATGGATAACTGACTTGGTGTAGGGAGTTATAGTTATCGCTTAATGAGCAATTGTTTCTTTGTGTCTTCGCAGGACTAGAAAAATGTGGTAATTCTCCAAAATGAGTCCTCATTGACCTAGATTTCACATCTTCGTTAGAGTCTATCAGACTAAGATTCATCTGTGATTGAGTCATGAACGAAAATGGTGCGGAGTGTTCATCTCGCCATCGTAACGTCTGTAATACAGTGAAAAAGTTATCAGTTCGTCATTTAATTTTTTCCATAAACATTGATGATACTATACTTACTGAACCGGTTTCATCTATGACATATTTCATTCCAGTTTGTATGCGCAGTTTTGGATACCACTCGGGTAATTCCTTTGTCAACTCAACCTTCTTCAAGGTGTACTTCAAAACTATCTCGGGCTGAATTATAGTCTCGTTGATGGCTTGATTGCGCTCCGCTGTACTCAAGGTGCTCCATAGTCCTTCATAGGCCTCCTTCGTTGCTGTTATATCCTCGCCGATCCTTCGAGCTATAGGATTTATATTAAAAAAATATTCCTCTGCTCTTGCAGTAAGAGTGCTGGAGCTCATTCCGCTGCGCTAAAGCACAAAAATTTGTTGATGGTCAAATTGATCATAACATGATTATAGAATATGTGTAAAGCGTAAAGACAAATCTACGACCAAGCAACATTAAAATTATATTCTGATATACGTACTAGCTTTAATAATGACATAAACAAAAGGGGTGAGTGTATTATGTCAACATAATAATTATTAATTATTTCGTTATATCACAGGATAATCGGATAAACGTTTAACGAAAGTAAGTCTTGAATACACGTAAACTATCATCATTGAAGATCACATTCACGAAAATGTGTCGACCACGAAACGAACGTGTCAATTGAGGATAATTAGGGAGGCCGTAGAAGCCATGATGGCAAAACTTGTTATGCGCTTGCGCCTTCTCTAGAAATAAAATAATGAATACATTCAAGCCGGCAGCGAGCAACTACCCTGCTTTCGCCGAGCAAATATTGAATAAAAACTGCTAGTTGCTTTATCGCAGCAATCAACTGCACAGCATATTTTATCTTCCTTTTCTAATTAACAATTTAGTATTTGTGTAGTATTTATTACGTTTATTAATTTTTTATATTTGTTTTTATTATATGTTTGTTTTCTAAGTATCAATATAAATGTTGACTAATCTATTGACTAATTCATGCTATTTCGTAGTATTGTTTGTGTAATATTTTATTAATTTTTATAAAATGAAAATATGTTCAAAACCACAAAGCGTAATATTATTAAAAGATGCAGAGTTGTACGTTGATTTATAGGATTACTTTTTAATAATTACAATAATTTATGGTATTAATTATAACTTTTTTTTGCAAAAAATTATAGTTTATATTATTCTGGGTATACATTGGTTTTCCAATATTGGACCAATCTGCTCAATATTGGCTATACATTAGTTTTCTAATATTGCAAAATCAATGTATAACCGATTTTGGCCTAATATTAGAAAACCAATTGTATAGCCACGACAGGTAAAAACGACTGATTATTATACAGTCATGTAGTATTTACTTGCCAAGCGAGTTAACTGTTCCGTCAGTTCGAATACATCCAATATAACTGTGTTATCGGAATAAGTACAATAATCTCAGCAGACCTATTCTAATTTAATAACGACAGCGTCGATATCGCTGTGTCGTTGTGCAGCTTCTTTACCATAGCAATTATCTGCGCAACGACGCTGTAACGATATCGACATGCATTGTTAAAAGTTACAGAATGACAGCAGGAATCTGCCATTAGCCTACGGTAAGTTTGAAATATTTTGTACATATAATTTTTAATTTTAATTGACCATTTTTTTTCAGAATTTCTTATATTGTTAATGACAAACTTGATTTTACAATGCTAATGGATAGGGAATTACAATAAGAGAGTCGAATGAAAAAAGTAACATGTCTATATTATTTTTTTTTTAACGGCGAGGATTGCACGAGGTACTAATGAAGCTAAAATGTTCTCAGCAGACATGTAAAATGATAGATTAAATAACGTCTTGGAATTTCGCTTTGTATTCAATTATAAAGAAACAAAATCATCTAAATGTATTCATTTAAATATATTTTAAGAGTCCCGCTTAAAAACGAAGGTGAACAATACAATGCCCAACTGTTCTTGTACATTCGGATTGCGACGGAAATATTTATATTTATATATATATATATATATACATTATTCTTTTTATTATCATACACACATATACAATATTTTAATATCTCATTATCAGTCGCTCGCGATGATAGATCATTTCTATAAATTCGACAGACAGATGACTATTACTTAAAGTTTATAAATTAATATAAAGAATGATATATGTAAAGAATAAATGTAATAGTATAATATGAAGACATATAACGTATACAATGTAAAGAATGAAAATACTTATTTGTATGTAACTAATAGGAATGATAATAAATAAAGATTGCATATCCGTTATTAATATTATATGTGCATATGATAATGCACATATAATATTAATATTTTTATAAAACACCTCAAGTATAAAGGAATATATTTTTAATCACTTTTGTCTTTCTTTATACAAAGTATATGTACAACTTAGTACATTGCAGTTTGATATTTCGTCAATTACAAAATAAAAGCTTTCTTTTCTCAAGAAAACATTTCCGGATATTTTTTTCATTAGTATCAACTGCTTGTTTCGATAATTGTAATCTCTTTAAAAGTATCTACCCATCCAAACCGTTCAATGAAAGAATATATTTTGAGAATGGAATGAATTGATAGCATTAAGACATAAAAAATTTTTTTTGAAATCATGATAAAAAAAATCAATAAATTCCTTCGTCAGATTAAAAAAAATAATACAGATTTTTAAAATATTTGATTTTCAAATCTTTGAAAAAATCTTTATGCACATATTTCAATATGCAGAAATTTGTGATGTTAATATTATGTTTAAATATTTTTTATATTTTTATAAAGAAATACATTCTTAATGCGAAAATATTTTGTATTCAATCTATTCTCAAATTCCTTCTGAACAAACAGTCAGAGTAAATAAATTCTTTAAGATGGATGTGTAACAATATTAGATATAATTTTCTCAATATAATTTTTTAAAATATTTTTTTGTTATCTGGCAAAATAATTCTGTCTGATTAGGTACATCAGCATAGTTTATCGCATATATTGCACATTTAAAATATTTTGTTATATATTAGGTTGTACCATAAGAAATTGCTGTTTTTATTGATTAAAATAAAAATATCATATTTTATAGAAAGAACAAGTTTTATTCCAACAAAACACGCATCGGTTAGGATTAGGATTTGGGACTATATAACTTTATTTTCGAGATTTAGATTTTAAGGAAATATATCAATCATCAATCGAAGTGTCCTTTCACTAACAGAGTTCTCTTTAAGAATCGTATTAATATTTCTATTTGTTTGAGCTGAATTACGTTGCAATTTCAAATTCATATAAAAAATATTTACAATTCTTTCATCTTATATTGACTATTTTTTAAAAATTATCTTATTTCTATGAAGAAGATAAAAAACTATAAGATAAAAATTTAATGAGATTAAAATTATAAAGTCTGATATTGTGTTGCAAGCTACGAATATCATAATTGAAGTATTTTATTTAAATTTCAAATTAATTAAATATCAACAATTTTATGTAGTACAACCCAATCCTTTTATTTCTGATACTGTCGCAGTTTTTCAATGACAGAAAAAAGTTGTAAAACTTTTTATTAGATATATCTTAAAGCTAAAGAATTGCGTTAACAAAGGACTTATCTAGCAGTTACTTTTTGTTAAATAATTTATATATGGAACATGTAAGTTTAGCAGAGAACTTTTTCCATTTTTGATATCTTTATTAAAAAAAATATACAAAATAATTCATAGTTTACGATTTCCTTTTGTAATTATATTACATATCGTGTGTACTTTAATCCTTTAGCTACGAATGGCCACAGAGCATATTCTGCATATTTACCGAGTATTAAGCTATTCCTACATACGAACGCCCACTATAAGAGTCATGACACACAAAAACGTAAGCAGTAAACGAATTGGCCAATCACGGTAGGAACTGTAAGTTCATAAATAATAGCAACATGTTGATTTCTTAATTGTTTGTTTTATTGCTTAAGTTTTTTGTGTGCTATAATCCCTAATGCACAACAGATACGTATCTACCGTGGACAAAGTTAAAATGAGAATAAGTTTCCAAATAAGCATGCTAAAAAACATCTCAAAGATTCTTTAAAAGTTCAAGATAACTAAGATATGAGATATCTTAAAGATTTCTTAAAAAGAAAAAAAATACCAACGATTTTGGCAAAAAAACGTTTTTGTTCTAAAATGTATCATAGTGTTGAAAACCTAAATGAGAATTATAGATTTTTTTAGTACTATCAATACATTTCGGAATACACTGTACGCGTGTTTGGATTACAAAACGATATCTATTTGTCTACACAGAATAAATAAAAAAAATTATTAAAAATAATTTTAGAATCTGTCGCATTATCACAAAGTAATGAATTTAAATAAATATTTCACCCACGGCAAAGCAAAAAAAACTTGTGGTTTTTTCGTACGACGATAGCATTTCCTCGATTAGTGCTCTGCTGTAGCAAAAGGGTTAATTTTCTAGATTATTTGGGCCTTAAAATCTTAGTTTATCAAAATGTGGTATAATTTTAATCAGAAAAGTTTTATGCGAAGAATACTGTATTGCTTTAAGTCTATAAATATAAATTAACAAATTTTACGTCTAAGTCAGTCGTCAACGATTTTCTTTTCATAAGATAAAAAAATTCACAAATAAATCTCGCATTTCTCATATAAAGAACATTGTGTTCACAATAATATATTCTTTATATATAAAATGTCGTGATTATATGACGACTTTACTTAAACTATATCACGGTTCTCTCTCAGAAATCAAGACATGTCGTGTGTCATGGTCATTGACAATACAGCAACAAGTAAAACAATTTTAGTAGAATAGTAAGCAAGGGGAAGTGTGATTGCACACGTAACATAGGCCGAATGCGAATTTGTCCAGTTACCCATTCGATATATGTTTAAGAGGACCGAGACTTAATATGGAGGTAGCACCAAGCGCACCCAGATTGCAGCTGCTTGTATTTCTCGCACCGTCTATTGTAATTATCGGTAAACCGAAGTAACCACCGGTTTGAGCACTTAACTGTGACAAAGGTATATAATTTTGAATGCCCAAGTTCGCCAAACGATTTAATACATGTGGCGACTTTAAATCCACGACAGGCAAAGCCAATTCTGTGCCTCCGTTTTGTGCCACGGTATCAACTTCCTTGTGGTAAGTCTGTTTGTGCGTTGTCAACGCCTGAACTGTGGGATATTGAGCTGGACAAAGGTTACACCTTAAAAAGAAAGGGATCGATCAGTTCTATTCTCATATGTGTTACTATTTAAAGGAAAATAAAACTCGCGAGCGAGGTAATTATAACTCACCTGTGAAGCAATTTACTGGTCGTTCGATGAGTTGCCATATGCTGCGTCAACATATCTTGATTTTGAAAATTCTTATCACATACCTGACACGTTAATAATGCTCTAGAAAAGATAAATATTGTGTCTATTGCGTTTTACGATTGTTGATTAGTAAATCTAATGGCACAATTGTGTAAAAATAACATGCAAGCAATGATATAGACAATTCTCACCTCGGCGGTCGACCACGTCTAACTACTGGCATCTGCGGTGGAGTATCCTGCGTTAGATCCACTGTTGGTGGTCTTGGAGGTCGCTCGACTTGGTCATTGATTGGCGATTTGTTTTGCTTGTTTTGTGGAACAGCAAACTGCCCTTCTTGTTGCTT